TCGATGTTTACAATTTCCTAAAATCGCTAAATTGACGATACATCGATGCCAGTTTCAGCGATGTTTTAACATCGACTTATGCCCCTAAAAGTTTTTGACTGGCCATGAATTTTATTACTTATTCTTTTGAGGAACATTCTTATCTTTCGATATTAAAAATGCTTACTTAGTCATTAGGCTCAGCATACTTACGACGGCATGCATTTCTATTCTATTTATAGGAAGGGTAAAGGAATAGTAAACAAATACAGGGAAATACATCCATATGTAAGTATTTTTCTAATTGAACAGAGAGTTGGAACTGAAAAGTATTAAATTTTCCTTTTAATGTGACTACAACCTAATAAATTTCAAAACATCGGATACCATCGATATATCGATGTTTTTTCTGGCGATGTATTTTAGCGTCGATGTTCATTTTTTCGATGCATCGAAACATCGATGTATCGATGTTACTCCCCAAAATTTGCATCCCTACACGTTTCGGCTTGAAATTGAAATTTTGGTTTAGAACTTACTATATACAAGTACTAAGAAACCACACGTGCTATAAAATTTAATTTCACATAAACAATCGACATGTTTGTCGCATGCACTGCGGAACTGAAACGCATTAAATATACGTTTTTGATTTTTCACGACACTAAAGTGTAAAAATTTCATACTGGACATTTCTCGTTTTCTCTAAAGGGTGACTGTCACGTCACTTGTCCGTTTCAAATGAGTGTGAGAAAACATTCTACAGTCGCTCTTTAGTTTCAAAAAATGCCGCAAAGCGACTTATGTATGTTTCGTTTGTAGACCCTTAGGTTTAAGAAAACGAGACCTCCTACTCTCGCCCACTACTTTGAGCTTTAACCATTTTAACCTTCGTGTGCTTGGAAGTCTACGTTTGTAGCATTTTGTAATAAATATAATAATTCCACTACAACCGTGTCGGAGGTTTTCGGTAGCTTCATGATAATAAATTCTAGCAGACTTGGCTATAGAAAGTACAAAAAAAAAGATTTCCGATACCTTCAAAATCCTTCTTTTATTTTTTCTAGTTTTTACTGTCTGGTGTCAGGATGTTTTTAAAAGGACTTTAAAATTTCAAGGACATCATAAATGAATAAATTAGGCTTGGAAAGATAAACTAATATTAGTATGATGAAGTAAAACTATATTTCTGTTACATTCTAAAAGTAATGAGAAATAAGTATAATTTCAAAAGTATACATTGGCATGTAATAGTTTTGTAATCATATTGCGCATTTCAAGAAAATCATGCTAAGTCGATGAAGTAATTTTATTTCTTCCGGCAAATGGCAATATTACTGATGAAGATTTTTGTTCTGAAGGAGCTTTCGCTTTTGAAAAATATATTTTCGCCAAATGGGAAAAATTTAGGCAGCATCTATGCTAATCGAATTTAGAAAACTTGCTGCCACACCCTAACCCCTAGAGAAACTTGCTGCCACACCCTAATTTATACATATACATATGCGCATATGTAAATATTCAAAAAATTATTCTGATTATTCTTTATTGAATATAAATGCGGCAGGTAAACTATGTACTCCTTTCTGCACGTGATGTCTGGTTTCCAGCAGTTATCGCTGACCGTATTCAATGTAGAGTTGACGCCATTTGACCAGAGCCCTAAGCGTTCATGTGAGCTTGGCCGCTGGTAATGGAAAACTCATTTTTGTATGCAATAGTACTTTTGAAGTGTTGGAAATGGTTCGTCCTAGAAGGTTGAGAAACCGTTCCGAGTGATGCGAAGCTATCAGATTGCTTTAACTGGGTACATGTCCGAGAGTCAGCGTTGCCATTTGACATTTTTAACATTATTGTGAAAATTTGTATTGCTTGTTTACGTTAGGATGCCTTGGAAAGAATTCGAGAGTTAATTTTAATAAAAAATTTCGCTAGCTTTTCCGGTTCTTTCGAGATTCGTTCGTATTACTTGTGTATGCGAGTTTTTCACGTTATGCAATGACAATTAGTGAATAGTGCAACATCTCATCGAAATACTAAAGTGATGGAATTTACAACAAAGCTGAACAAACATCACCGACCATCGACCATATTCTACTCAATTTTAATGTACATAAATTTTCAGGTGCAATAATTTTACCCAGTGTAGTTATCAATTCGTTTGACGTAATTTGGAATCACTCTAAAAAAATTGTGTAGATTTGCTAGCTAAAAGATAGGTTACTGATTTCCTACCTTACTATTCGCGAAATTACATGCTCGATTATTCAACGAATGGTTTGTTTAAATTTCGAACTTTTTAGAGTGTAATATAGCTGCTGTAGTGTGCGTAAATTTACTACGAAAGTGTGTACAAGCTACAAAATACATATCTTCGGTTTTATTTCACCCGTAGAATTGTGTAAAGCCGCTAACAGAAATGATTTTTACCCACGAAAATGTGTAAACGAGAAAAATACATATTCATCGTGTAAATTTACCAAAAACTTTTCAAAAATAAACAAAAATATACGCGATTTATAGTCGCATTTTTAAACAGATTTTTTAGAGTGCCTTAAAGCTTTCGAAACTCAACGCGATAAAGTAGACAACACTTTTAAAATGATATTTATAATATGAAGATAGCTACGAAAAATAAAGCGGGAACGAAAATTTATATTTATTTTTCAAACCAAATACTTTAAAAAATCTACCAAAATGTAAACAAGATTTACCTTTTTACCAACCCAAATTTTTTGTACCAATTTTAGTCACAATTTACCAAAGTGGCAACCGTGGTTAGGGTTTCATCTGTGCCTTTGTGCGAAAATAAAAGTACGAAACGGTGCCATATGTTTGTTATAGAAAGCCGTCGAATATTTCGCATTTTCGCACTTTCGCTCAAACGCACACACTTTTGTCTTAAAGAGTGATTTCTATTAATGGGTGCAGCAGAATGAGATGGCGTACCATTTAAAAACAAAGGGATATATTTGCACTTATTGCGACACATCCGACCGGCTTCTCAAAATCCGAGCTCATCCTGCATTGTCATAAATAAACGTAATTTACTTTGGTTGAAAAAATCTATTGATTAATTTTCCAAAAAAAAATCAGTTTGTTCTGTTAACCTTTTGGGAATGATGACGGTTTTTACAAGTGCTGCCACAAAATAGTTAGCCGAGTTGGAGCTTTCTTTTGCAACTCGTTTACAATTTAACGCTATAATTTACGTTTTTTTTAGACTAAGTGGGATGTTTTTCCATGTCGAAGACCTGGTCACATTGATGAGTGTATTCGTGCAGCAAATTTTTTATAAGCACTGAAACATAGCTGCATCTATTCAAATTTGAATTTTCAGTGTAATTTTTCAGCAACGCGATGATGTGAACAAAAATCATAATAACTATTTCAATTTTGCGAAAAATCCACAAATATTTCAATGCGAAAAGCTCCGCTGCAAAGCTTCCTCGACATTCTTCCGATATCGTGTTTTTTCATAAGTTACTTCAAATAAACACAACACTCACCATTCACCACCGGACTGGTCGTTCCAACCTGGAAATGTTGCTCACTTTCACTACTGGGATATTCCGCACCACTTATCCGCATACTGTCACGCATATTATCCTCTATTATTGTCAAATTTGCAATAGCGGATACAAATTTCAACACATCAAACCCGCTCACATTTAAATATTGCAAAAATG